CCTTTACTCCCCAACACTTGTTGTGCCATCCTTGAGAGCACTACTGCAATCAAGTATCTGCAATAACTAACAATGACTCTTTTGATCCATTGGAGGAATTTTCACTCGTTTCTTTGTGACATTGTTTTAATTCAGCCACACTGGAGGATTTGAACCCATTTAAGTTCATGCCAAAGCATCTCAACTGGTTTTGAGTTACTTTTATTTTGTCCCATAGGACCAGGTAGGTTTGGCTATATTTTTCCCTTAATACAATTAATGATTAAAAAACAGCATTTTGTGTTTACTTTGAGAGTTTAGTAGTAAAATTAATCTGATGATCTGAGACGTGCAGGTGTGACAAATATGCAAAAATACTAAGAAATCAAAAAGGGGGAAAATAGACTCAAGGGACTTAATAACATGCCACTGCATTTCTTTGTAAATTCACTTTTTTGTTATATGCAAATGAAAACTCGTGTGTTGCTTTTCATTACCTTTTAAGGAATGAATCAGTAAATACCAAGAAACGTAAGCACAATACATTTTTGAAGTGAAATAACTGCAGGTAACAATAAAAGAATCAATCAGTAATTAGTGTCCCCCTTGATTTTGGCATTAATATACCTCCATATGGACAAGCATAATTTCGGGATGTCATCCTCTGGGGTGGCAACCCACACTTCAGTCAGTGCTGTCCGGAGTTGCTGCTCGTCTGAGGAATTAGATTCACTCTGTCACTCAAATGACTCCGCAGTTCTTCTGTGAGCATGAAATCAGGGCTCATTGTTGACCATTTCCCACCTGTCACATCAATGTCATCCAGCAACTGCATGGACACATGGGCAAGCACCGTCCTCCTTGTCATCCCTGTCCCTGATGCGAGCTGCCTAAATGACTGTCGCGCAGTAGCACTCACCTCCATTGTCATGAAGTGCTTTGAGCGTATAGTCAAAGCTCACATCACATCTTCACTCCCTGCCGTCATACTATCCAGACTAGTCATGAAACTTTGTGACCTGAACATCAGCTCCTCCCTGTTCACCCACGACTGTACAGCAACACACAGCTCCAACACCGTCATCAAATTGGCAGATGACACCACCATCATCGGCTGCATTTCTGATGGAGATGAGATGGCATACAGGGCAGAGGTGAGAGCCCTGACATCACGGTGCCGCGACAACAACCTGCTGCTCAACGTCAGCAAAACCAAGGAGCTCATCGTGGATTACAGGAGACTGCAGAGAGGAGGCCACACCCCCATCCACATCGAAGGAGCAAGGGTGGAGAGAGTCAGCTGCTTCAGATTCCTGGGCATCAACATCAGCGAGGATCTGAGCTGGTCACACCATGTTGGTGGCTGGACTGGAACAAAAAATCGGCCCGAGCATTTTGACTACAGACCGGCCGCCATTATAGGAAAAATCATAAAGCCTTTGAATGAAAACACTGTTGTGACAGTGATGTACACTGTTCTGATGGTATATATGTATCAATCTATCATTCGTTTGTTGTAAGATTCAGATAATTATTTAATAAAAGCGAGACATTTTAAATGAAAATAAGAAAGAAAAGTATTTCTTTGTGCCCCACCTTTCCCTGTTAATGCCCTACCTGCCCCCCTGGCAACACTTTGCTAGATCCACCCCTGCACAGTTACCAGCTGTCAGCTACCTAAAAAAGGATCCTGGTGTTATTTGTCTCTCAGAAACAGTTCATAACTTCAACTCATTCATGTCACCTAAAAGGTAAACCTGTTTCTCCATCACCTGTTCAGCTCTGATGATCCAGTAAGGACATCTCCTGGTTTCATCCTCATGTTTCCCTCTCACCACATATCCAAACCGACATCATGACCAGCAGCTTTACAGCTGTGGTTTCCTCTTTCTGGCGCAAAGTGTGCGATAAACAAACAAGAGAGAAAATCTTGATCATTGACCAGTTTCATGATTGAGTAGCAACAGGAGAGGGAGGGGGAGAGAATGAGAGAAGAAGAGGCCGCTGCAGCGTAAACACACAGAATAAATCCAGCTTTGTGTCTTTTTTTTCCATTCTAGCTGAAGTCCGGGACTTACAAGTCCGGACTACTTACGAATACAAGACGATTCCGTTTTTTTAAGGAGCCGTTGGCAACTCTACAAACTAACCTTATGAATAAAAATAAAGTTCACTATCAGTAACATCATAGCACCACCCATCTGTATATAAACTCCCTCATGCTAGCTAGTAGCAGTACGAGTTATTGTAACTGACTGTAAGAAGTCAGCACAACAAAAATAAACTCCACCTAAACTTGGTTTATATCTGACCCAGATAGACTGCAGCTCATAACTTCTTACCTGACACTCGGACCTGCCGGCACCTCGGGTCTCTCCTCCTCTTGCCTCCCCTTTCCCTCATCCACCTGATGGCCTCCCCCACTTGCTAATGGTTTTTTTTTTTTGTGTGTCCCGTTTGGATCTTTAGCATCAGAATTGTTGTCTTAAGGCCAAGAAAGATGCCAAGCGGATTTATTTTACCAAGTGGATCATCATGGCCTTGCCATATTGGTCCATTTGATTGACCTTTATTATAATTATGAATTTATTTTATTTTCAGTTGCTACAAACGGGACAGACATGACTGGGGGATAGGACAGGGAGAAAGAATGAAAGAAAGAGAGGGAGAGAAAGAAAACCAAAGGGGAGAAGAGACGGTGAGAAGGGGGAGAAGAAAGAAAAAACAAACACCTGGATCACCTGTATGGAGAAAAAAACAGAAGAGAAAGCAAACAACAAAGAGCAACATAATAAAAAAAACGGCACCATAACAATAAACTAGCTAGCAGTAGATATCAGTAGATACTAAATAATAAACAATATTGTGCAGCACGCAAGATAGACAGCGCACAATGTGCTTTGAGGCAGCAGCCAAGAAAGCTTTAGTCCGCGTCTGTGAACACCCGTGTGTATACCTGTGTGGATCAGCATGCTTGCATTCCAAAGGTTTCTCCATGTAACGATCTGCTAGAGGGTGTGGGGGGGCCACAGCCCCGTCCTCCAGGGCATGAAGCAGGTATGGAGGAGATCAAGACTCCAGACATCCAGAGGCCCCCAGAACACAAGAGACCAAGGAAGACCAACAGAGGGGCAGCCGCGCCACTGTCCCAGAAAGAGCTGAGGAGAGTCCCAGATGAGGGCTCACTCAGCAGCCGCGGAGCAGAAGCCAGGGGAAAAGGCCCACTTGCTAATGTTACTGAATCTGTGGAAGCTCCGCCATAGCCACCACCAAACAACTGAGTTATTTTTACACATCTGCCAGCATCTGGCCAATCCACCACCTTTCACTGTTTATACCGTTACAAACCCCCCCCCCAGCACATCAAAACGAAATATCACCATCGGCCCACCGAGTCCAGCTATGGCTGCATATGTGTTTAGCAGTAATTTCTTTTTGTAGAGGGCCAGCAAAACAACCGTTTTCGAGGGCATTGCCATATTGGAATCCCGACTTCTCAGACGAGGTTAACCAGAACGCCGTTTACTCGAGTGTGACATTATTCCCAGGTCCGTGTTTCAATTTCACACAAAGTAACGAATAACGACCCTATCTAAATCCCAGTAATGAGTAACGCGTTCCTGGTTTTGGCATAATAACTAGTTACCGTGCTCGTTACCACAATAATAACGTAGTTACTGTAACACGTTACTTAATAACGCGTTAGTCCCTACACTGGTTACAAATGATCTTCTTATGGCCTCTGACAGTGGACTCATCTCTGTGCTTGTCCTGCTAGACCTCAGTGCAGCGTTCGATACTGTCGACCATAATATCCTATTAGAGCGATTAGAACATGCTGTAGGTATTACAGGTACTGTAATAGACGTAGGCTGCCGGGGGATTCCCATGATGCATTGAGTTTTTCCTTTCCAGTCACTCACTATGTGTTAACAGACTCTCTGCATTGAATCATATCTGTTATTAACCTCTGTCTCTCTTCCACAGCATGTCTTTATCCTGTCTTCCTTCTCTCACCCCAACCAATCACAGCAGATGGCCCCGCCCCTCCCTGAGCCTGGTTCTGCCGGAGGTTTCTTCCTGTTAAAAGGGAGTTTTTCCTTCCCACTGTCGCCAAAGTGCTTGCTCATAGGGGGTCATATGACTGTTGGGTTTTTCTCTGTATGTGTTATTGTACAATCTACTGTACAATATAAAGCGCCTTGAGGTGACTGCTGCTTTGATTTGGCGCTGTGTAAATAAAATTGAATTGAAATGTCTTTGTGCGATGCAGAAAAGGTCAACGGATGGTCTCTACAGGAATGGTTCCCAGAACCTGAACCTGCATGGCCACCACAGCATCCTGCAGCAACATGCCATCCAGTCTGGTTTTCGTTTAGTTGCTCCATCATTTTCACCCCAAACACAACATGGTTAATAATACTGCATGTGTTGTGTATATATTCTAAATGTTGTTTAACATCTTCATCTTTAACCTCCTAAGACCCGGACTCTTCCACAGCAGCATTTTTAATTTCTCTTTGATATTTGGGCTGATTGGGGCCCGATGAATGTAAAAACAAAGAATTACCAGATTTTTTTTTACCTTATTTTTGTTTTTAAGAAAAATGAGAGCCACATATGAGGATATTCATTTAAAATGTTGATAGAACAGTAGCAGTATAATGTCCTCGTAAGTGGATATCAGGCCCTTGTAGAGCAAAATTGAGTATTTTGGTCTAAATAACCCAAAATGTGATGTCCACATATGTGGATGCCAGGTCCTAGGAGGTTAAATAAATATCAATATAAAGTTTTGCTGTCTGTTGCCTGTATGATTTCCAAGTTCAGTTAAACATGATTGTTGAAAAGAAGGTACCATGTATTTCATGAAAAGGCTCCAGATTTCTGCTGTCTTCTGTTTTTTCGAACAGTTGTTTTCATTTCTTCACTCAGTTATTTACCTGTGCTGTTGAGCAAGTCTTGTTGCATGAACAAAGTCAAATTAATCAATCCAAAAGTTCTGTAAAGAGAGTGCTGATCTGTGTTAATCTTTAACAGAAATGTCAGCGAACTGTCTTTAATCTTGCTGAAAACAAAAAACAGAGTTTCTGGAAACTGCACTAAATAAGATGTTAATGGTAAGCATAAGCCTCCATTAATTGACTGCTTCTTTCATTCTTTTCATTCGTTGTATTTTATTACGGTGTTATGAGTTGTTCTCAAAATTTCAGTTCATTCTGCTCTTTGTTTTTATCCGTATGTACAAGTCAAACATCTACTGTGGCAGAGACACTGACACACTGAACATTTTTATAAAGGTTTCAGTAACAGGTGACAGTGCGGCAATACGGCACAAACGAGAAGGGGAAGATATGGAAACATCAAGTTCTGTGCATTCGAGTTTCCTAATATTAAAATGATTTAAACCTCAAAATAAATAATTAATCATTGTAGATGCTCCAACATTTTAAGGATCAGATTACAACAATATAATATCGGAACTGATTTTATGCTTTTATCTCCAGCATTTGTCTTTGTTCATTTTTGGTTTCCTGTTATGTGGAAGCAAGTTTGGTATTTTCTGTGCAGAGAATCCAGCCTGACAAATACAGCTTTAATTCTATGTTAATAACGCATTCAAGCAAAATCCATAAAGTCTGATGATTACTTAGAAAAAAGTGAATTAATTTCTGTGTAATCAAAAACAACCAGGACTGCAAAATGCTAAAACTGCTACGACTTTGAAGTAAGTATAGAAAAGTTTCCCTGATGTTTCTGTTCTGCTGGCAGCAGGTTTTAAAAGTTTTACCAAAACATTACTTTGCTATTATTTTGTGGTTTTGTGCTGTGGCCGCCTGCTACCTACTTGCGGCTGACACCACTGCTGGTGCAGGATGTTACTTGCTTATTACTTGAATATTACATTGTTAATAAAGTGATAGTAACTCGCTATTTCCATATGTTTACCTTGTTTCCACCCACTATTGCAACATTACTGCTGTAATAGAGCGCAACCAAGTTTTCTTAAGGTGTACTGCTATATTTTTCTGCCTCTTTGACTGTAGGTGCAGATATTTTGCGTATTTCGAGGGGAGTGTGGCCATCATAGTACAACTGTAAGCTACTGTAATGGCAAATAATGTTTGAGTGATTCATTGAGCCACAGTAATGTAAGCTGACAGTAGATTAACAGGAAATATCTGTGAAGGTTCTCAGTCATCCAGGTCATTGTAGTCAAAGGAGCTTCTTCAGTTCTAAGTCCTTAGAACTGAAGAAGCTTCTCGGATGAGAGGTGAAACATCTTCAAGCAACTTAAAGAAGTCCAGACGCTTTTCTTTAAAAGCTCCTTTGACTACATTACCAGGAAATATTTGGGAAAATGAGTCTGCTAAAGTATGAAAGATAAAGGTAAACAATAATAACTCCCTTTAGACTTCAGATACTGTAACTGCATTATTTCATTAGAAAATATAATTGTTCCACTCTGGAGGTGCCCCAGCTGAGAGGCAGTGAGCAGGAGTAGGTTACTTGTATCCCCCTGGTTCTCTGCCTGTGGTTCTGTGCCTTCAGGTTCGAATACCTTCAGGACAAGTTATCATTCTGCCCATGTAACACTGGAGTAGGGATGGGTATCGATTAGGTTTTATCCGATACCAGTACCAAATCGGTACTTTTGAAACGGTGCCGGTGCTCAAACGGTGCTCACACCGGTGCTTAAAGAATGGAGAACACAAACTTTGTCCTAAACCTCTCATGTTCAGCTGTTTTTTTGTGAAAAGATAACAATGTTAGCCTTTTCTGCAGCTATGGGGCATATATGGTATCACTCTTGGCTGGAAGCAGTGCTTAAACAATGGAAAACACAAACTTTGTCCAAAAACCTCTCATGTTTAACTGTTTTCCACTTTGGTCATTTTAGCCTTTTTGGCCAGGGTGAAGGGAGTATCTGCCATCAAACAAGAAGACAGCCGCATGTAGCTATGATGGTGTTTGCTAGTTCACCTTACATGCATTAATGTAATAACGTGGTTAGCCTACTCAACGTAAATTACACACGAACAACATTAAGCTCCTCACGCAGAGAAGAACGGCTGCTGCTGCATCATCATCCTCATCATTTCTGCTACACTGGCAGGGCTAGGGGCCAGGACTCTCCTCTTTGGGTTTCTGGGGGATGTCGCTAACTCCGGGTCCGATAACAGGCACCACACCCGCAGTAGATGTGCTCGGTGTGAGGTCTCGCAACAAGCTATCAAATACGGCGCATTTCTCGGCTTTTAAAAAAAACGCTATGCGTCACCAGGTGTTTCATCAGATTCGAGGTGTTACCTCCTTTGACAATATCACAGTATCAGCTTAAAGCACTTGTTGCTGCTGAGTTTGCATCTTTTGCTGTGAAGTACAGCCAGACTTTTGACCGCTTCGCCTTGGGCATTTTTAATCTGTAGCTCTGCTCTAAAAGAACGTACGTACCTGGACCCGCCTACTATCCTCGGAAAGGTAAAATGATTGGCTAGAATCTAAAGAGTATCACAGCTCAGGAAAAAAAAGCACCGAAAAAAAGCACCGAAATGTGCGCTGCTTTTGGTCTGGTTACTACCGTTTATGTCAGAACCGGTGCCATGATGGCACCAGATACCGGTACTCATCCCTACACTGGAGTAGCTCTTTATTCTCTTGAGGACATTCAAGGGATGGGAGTTTGCCCAACCATCTGTTTTGTGGACTTAGAGCAGGGCGGTGCTTCGAGATTATGAGGTGTCTGGCTTGTTGTTGCAGGCCATGGCGAGTGCCTAGTTTGTATCTTCAGCAGTAAACCGGACTTGCTTCCATCTCTGCTACAGCTTGTCACAATTCTGGTCATAATTCTTATGGACAGACTATTTCGATGTTGCACGGTGGTGGAGGATGTACACAACAATGATGGAGTTTTGTTGGCTTGATCGGGGGCAGTTTGCGGTCAAGTGTGAAGAAACAGAAATGAGAATCAGCACCATGGTTCTCCGAAGGAAAAGGGTGGGGTAGCTTACTCAGGCCTGGGTCTCAAGGTGTTGTTTATGAGTGAGAGGAGCGTGGAGCATAAAAGCAAAGCTGTCAATTTACCAGTCAATCTATGGTCCTATTGTCACAAGGTCCCATGAAGCGACCGAATGAACGATGTTGCGGATACAAACAACAGCACTGAGTTTCCTTTAAAGGATGTCTGAGCTCTTACTTAAGGATAGGGTGGGAGCTTTGACATTCAAAGCAGCACCGTTGCTCCTCCAAATGGAAAACAGCCAGCTGAGGTGGTACAGGCATCTGACTAGGATGACTACTGGAAACCTAGGTGAGCTGTTTGAATCTCATACTGGGAGGAGGCTACAGGGCAGGCCCAGGAGTTGCTGGAGAGATTATAATTTTTGCCTTGTTTGGGAACAAGTCAGTCTATCTCGGATAAGCTGGAAGAGGTGGCTGGGGTAAGGGAAGTGTGTACTTCTCTGCTCAGACTGCTGCCCCTGTAAAGGTGGTAGATGAAAGATTTAATTAGATTACTTCTTTTTACCAAAGGTTGAGGAATTATGATTTACAGATAGATAACTGCCTGTAATGAAAAACTTTAACTGGAACTCATTTTGTATTACTTCTTTGATTTCCAATCCACAGACTCTAAAGATGCATTTCTGTAGCTGTGCACTCATTGCACTGTTGCTCGCTGTAGCCTCGGCAGACCACCATCTCCACCACAACCGTGGTTCTGAAGACCATATGAGCTGCCACAAGCTCTCTGCTCCTAATGCTGACTTTGCCTTTGCCCTGTACAAACGTCTGAATGCGAGGACTGCTGCTGGAAACAACATTTTCTTCTCACCACTGGGCATCTCCACTGCCCTGTCCGTACTGTCTACTGGGGCCCATAGTGAAACCCACAGCCAGCTGTTCTCCAGCCTGGGCTACAGCACCTTAAACCAGACTCAGGTCAATGAAGCCTACCAACATCTTTTCCACGTGCTTGGACAAAGCCAGGAGAACCAAAAGCTGGATGTTGGCAATACCATTGCAGTGCACTCAGGTTTCAGTCCCCTGGAGAAGTTTCTGAATGATGTCAAGCAGCATTACTCTGGTGAGGTCTTACAAATCAACTTTACTAACCCTGCTGAGGCTGCAGATAAAATCAACAGACACATTGCCAATAAAACACAAGACAAGATCAAAGATATGGTGAACGATGTTGACCCTGAAACCATGATGATGCTCATTAACTATGTCTATTTTAAAGGTAAGCAGCCTGATCAAGTCTATTGTTAGGCTACAACAGACAAACATGAATATTACATATATTTAAATAAAAAAGGTCAGCTTAGATGTCAGCTGATGATTGAAATATACTTTCAACAAGTAGTATGATTCATGCTGACACATCCCAATATTGTCATCACCACTCTCCACTGTGTCGGGCAGGATACTGGAAGAAACCATTTAATAGTGAAATGACACATAAGGCGGACTTCCATGTTGACAGCAGGACCAAAGTTCAGGTTGACATGATGGTAAGGACGGGATACTACCACATCTTTGAGGACAGAGCGAACCACACCAGCATCATCTTGCTGCCATACGAGAGTCAAACCTCCATGATGATTGTCCTTCCTGATGAAGGCTGGATGAGGAGTGTAGAGGAAAACATCAACAAGGACCATATAAGAAACTGGCAAAACTCAGCATCTATGATGTAAGACTTATTGCATTATGGCTGATTATTCTTTCTTGGTAGTAGCTGAAGTGTGTTACCCATTTCTGTGTCTCATAAAACTGCTCTTAGCTTTGCTATTACGAGACCCAAAGTTTATTTACACTGAGAATCAGATGGATGAGCAATGCACTAAAGGTATAGAGTTTATTTGTGACCATTGGAAGGTTGTACACTTCTCTCCCTTAACGGTCGTCATCTTGGCTATAATTTTCTAAATTTTACCATGCCCACCCATGTTTTAAATGCACTTTAGAACAACACGCAGCAACACTACACTGAGCGGAAGGAGGGAGGTATGGGGTCTTCACACACCCCCATTCTCTGATAGCCATTGGGGCGGAGGGGCTGGACGGAGGTGTTGGCCGTCCAGTTGGGGTCTGGGATGCTGGGCCTCCCTGCTGCTGCAGGGCAGGGTCTGCTTGTCTCCACCCCGGGGGAAGGGTAACATCTTCTGGGTCAAGGTGCAGTTTCCTCCTCTGCGGGCGAGGGTACCTGGACCTGGGGTACAGAGTATGTTTGGGGAGTGTGATTGTGTGTACTGTGTCCATTTGTGTCTGTCTCCACATTGGTTGAGTGCCGAGTGTTTGTATATGTGTGCATGAGGGGGGAATGCAAGTTTGTGTCTGTGTGTGCCTGTTTGTCTGTCTATACGTCAGGTCGGGTCTCAGACTCCACCCCTCTGGGAACATCTCAGCCCCTCCAAAGAATGGAGGCCTATCTCCCCTCACCACACTCCCTGCCGGTGGCTGATGCCCTCAGGCGTAGGTGCGTTGGTGGATCTTGTTTCTTGGGGTGCTTGGGTATGTACCGGCTCACTCCCGGTGGCTGCATGGCAGGGCCTGCCACCCATGGCTCAGTCGGGCCCCTTCCGGGGGGTGGGGGTCTTCAGACCTCCAGCCTCTGGGCCTGGGGCTCAGTTCACTCTGGCACAGCTGGCTGCCGGCAGAGCAGCCCTCCTCTGGCTTCTGCTCTGTGGCTGCTGGGTGACCCCTCATCTGTGGCTCTCCTCAGCTCTTCCCAGGAGGGTGGCACGGATGTCCCTCCGGCGGTCCTCCTTGGGCTCTCGCACTCTGGGGGCATGTAGATGTCTGGGGCCTGGATCTCCTCCATGCCTGCCCTGGGGGACGGGGCTATAGCTCCCCACACCCTCTAGCAAACAGGTGTCGAACTCCAGGCCTCGAGGTGCCGGTGTCCTGCAGGTTTTAGATGTGTCCTTGATCCAGCACAGCTGATTTAAACGGCTAAATCACCTCCTCAACATGTCTTGAAGTTCTCCAGAGGCCTGGTAATGAACTAATCATGTGATTCAGGTGTGTTGACCCAGGGAGAGATCTCAAACCTGCAGGACACCGGCCCTCGAGGCCTGGAGTTCGACACCCCTGCTCTAGCAGATCGTTATGTGGAGAAACCTTTTGAATACAATATGCCTGTGAAGGTTCTCAGTCCTCCAGGTCATCGTAGTCTAAGAAGCTCCTTAGCTTTTTGAATACAAGCGTGCTGATCCACACAGGTGTGCACACGGGTGTTCACAGACACAAACTACACCTTTCTTGGCTACTACCTCATAGCACATTGTGCGCCGCGCTGCACAACAAAATTCAATATTTAGTATTTACTGTTATTTACACTTAGCTAGATTAATGCGATGGTGTTGTGTTTATTATGTTGCTCTCTTGTTTTGCTTGTTTTCTCTTTTTTTCTCTCTCAGCAGGTGATCCGGGAGTTTCTTTTCTTTTTAAGTGTCCTTCCTCACTCTCCCTCTTCCCCCCTGCTTTTCTTTTCCTTCATCTTTCTTTCTCCCTTTTTCCCCCCAGTCATGTCTGTCCCGTCTGTAACAACAGAAAATAAAATAATAAAAATAGTAACCATAAAAGTCGATCAAATGGACCAACACGGCAAGGCTGTGATGATCCACTTGGTAAAGAAAAATCCGTCTTTGTTGGCTTTCAGACAACAACTGTGACGGCTAAAGAAGCAAACAGGCGCAATGGGCAGCTGTGTATCAGGTTTTGATGTTACGTGTTGTGCCATCGTTTATGTAGGTTAAAAAGTAATTCCCATTGTATGTAGAATAATCTAATGTTGTATATGATCAGATGCACAACAAGCTAGAAACATTTGCAGATGTGGCTACTTGTAGGATTGTGGAGTCAAAATGATCATTTTGCAATAGTAGAACAACTTTCTGTGTTTGATTAGTATAAATCTGCACACTGTGTAAGTTCAACACTGTATATTACGTGTACTAACAGAACCCAAACCGAGGAAAAGTGTGTTCTTTGTTTTGGTATGATGAGGTAACACTGAAATATGTCAATATTACATGAATAAATGTGAAAGCAGGGCTGGGCTCGGGTCATGTTTGGGCAGAAGAAATGCTGACCTGGACTGGGGATATTTTTGGGTTATGGAAAGAGCACTTTGAGGAACTTTGAGTCTGGTGACCCGAGCGTTTCCTATATCGCCTGTGCATTTAAAAAAACAAGTTATAGCTTTATTACACTGCTGGAAAGGAGGCTCTTGGCAATCATTGAACCTTCAACCAGATTGTTACCCTTTGCAGGACTTCTGGGGTATCATGGCAGGCTGACCCTCCAGTATACGTGTGTTTCGTTGACTTGGAGAAGTGACTGAGGAGACGTATTTGTATTTTTTTGTGGACGATGTGATACTGTTGGCTTCATCAGAGTGTCACCTTCATCATGCACTGGAGTGGTTTGCACCCAAATGAAATGCACCCTCTGGTTTGGGAGAATGAGGCTGCGTCTGTCACAATTTGCCAGTGTAGTTGACAGGATGTGCATCCAAATGCAGGACTCATGAGAAGGAATGGAAATGCAAAGGGGAGACTTAAAGAACTCTTTGAGTGGTGTTGAGTGGAGCAGCTCTGGGTGCTGGCCACGGAACCAGCAGAAGTGGGAAGCCAGGTCAGGGGCTGGCTGTGAAACAAATCAACCCTGGTGGCTGAGATGAATCTGGATGATAGGGATGGAGGGTCTGATAGGAGACCACTGAAAGCTTTGTCCTTTGGAGGCTGAGGGTCTCTGCAAAGACCCTCTGGCAGCACAGCCAGAGATCAACGAAGGTGTAGAAGACCTTCTGGTGGCTGTTACAGGCCGATGATCATGTAGAGAATTTAGGCGGCTTGGCTGCAGGCCGATGTAAGTGGTGAAGACCCTCAGTGTGGCTAATGGTAAGGGTGATGGGACACCTCTCAACTGAGAGCTGAACCAAAATGAGACAGGTCTTTGGCTGATTAACACCCCGCTATCGCCAAGAGAATCCGGAGCAAGGAAAACACACTACCAAGTAGTAAGGATGTGCACATACAGCAGGTGGGATCAGAGACTGGCAAAATAAAAAGGGAAGAAACCAACCTACAGTGAGGGAGACCTAACAGCTGCACACAGGAAACACAGGGAAGGCAGCAAAAGCTGATATAAGGATTATAATAAACACAATTACCAAGTACTGAAAACAAAACCTAGAAACAAAAACCATTTCTTACAAAAGCAGTAAAGAAAAGATCAAAACACTAAGTCAATGACCCAGAAACAATTCCAGCTTCAAGCAAGAGAGCTAAAGTATCGTGCAAGCTTCCTCATGAGTGATGTGAAGGTGGTGTGTAAGCTGCACTGGCGGATTGGCGTCAGCAGGAATGCGGGTGTTGTTCAAGACTGTTGCAGTGAAGATTGAGCTGAGCCAGTTAGAAAAAGATGGAACCACCAGCAGTGCAACTGTATAATTATGGTTTCTCTGTTTCTCAGGTATGTGGAACTTTATATGCCAAAATTTTCCATTGCCACTAATGCCTCCTTGAGGAATATATTGCAAGAAATGGGCATCACAAGTGCTTTTGAAAACACCGCGGATTTCTCTGCTGTGTCAAACAAGTTTCCACTTAAAGTATCAAAGGTGGGCGAAGTTTCCTTTTTACTTGTTTTTAGGGAACAGGACTAGAGCATGCCTACTCTTTTGGTTAAACTGAATTCTGAGAAATTAGCTTTGATCTGCCCGCTTTCTTATTTTTTCCCACAGGCATCCCACAAGGCCACGATCAGTGTCACCGAGATGGGAACAGAGGCAGCAGCCATCACCATTTCTGAATGGATCCTACTGACTACACCAACACCCGTCAGAATTGACAGGCCCTTCTTAGTTTTCATTGTAGAAAACTCGACTGGAAGCATCCTCTTCATGGGCAGGATCAACAAACCAACAGCTTCATAACGGCACACAGTTGTGAGATGACACGTTTGATCACAGTTGTCATCATAAGGATCCTTTCATGATATAAAAGACTGAGCGCTCACACTAAACACATATTTGTCAGTCTGCACACACTAATTTATGTGGTCTACAAAGTAATATTGAGGACATTTTGCTCAGGTAAAAAAGAAGAAATCTTAAGACTACCATAGTTTTAACTAAAAATATTGATACTAAATAAATGAGAAATTTGCTGTGGTTTGTTTCTGAGATATTCCACTAAGATGTGGCTCATAGGGCAAGAAAACTAGTTACTAAATCCCAGACTTACAAAGACACTCTGGGGTTTACAGAAGCCACTTGCTCAGTTTGGGGGTCACTGTCCCGACTGCTCCAGGAAAATCTCTGTTTAATTCTCCCTCCAATGGGAGAAGGTTATTATCTAACCCGCTCGCTGACATTAGATGCCGAGTAGCATTTCAACAGATTCTAATAAATATTCAGAATATTCTCATCTCTCGTCCACTTATGAATGAATCTGAATAAGTTGCACATTTTTAAGGAACAAATGTAGCAAAAATATGAAAAATCAAGATCCATATGTGAAAACTGATGTTTAATTGCACTCTCTTTCTAAAAAAAACTGTCAGAAGGTTCAATAAACATTTAAGTTTTAAAAAAATGTGAATATTCTTGTAGTTATTTCATGTTTCAGGCTGTTCAAGGTTAAAAAAGGAAGGGAAACTGCTCAGGTGGACATCAACCCCAAATCTACGATCAAATGAACTCAAATCCTTTTAGGCTTTGAGTTAACAGTTTGGCAGTTTTTAATGAAACCTGTTAAAACAAGTTAAAGACTCATTTGGGTGTCATTCTGACCTTCCATCTTTCCCTGATATTATTTTGAAATGTGAGAGAAATGGTAAAAGTAGTTTAAAAATAGAGAGATTAACTGTTGTATGTCCACATCGTGCAAGTGTTGACAACATAGGCGACAAACAAGAATCCCCATATTATCCAAACATGCGGTTATGATTTTGTGAGAGTGTCTCATGACACAATGACAAACAAGCATTTTTAAAAGAGAGTTTTTCATTTGATTATATTTTATATGACGGATTTTGCAAAAAATAGGACTGGCAGGTTTATTGAAAGGTTATCTAATTACTTTTTTTTAACTTGACCATCACTGTATATACAGCATCTATTATTAACCCATCCATACACGCCCAACCTTCTATGGTTAAGAGCTTTCTATCTAACATTGACGATTCTGGATGCATCAGAGAGCAACTTTGGGTTAGTATCTTCCCCTACGGATATTTGCTGACTGGAGCAGCCGGGGATCAATCACCAAACCTCTGATTAGTATCCAATGATGACCCGCTCTAACTTCTGATCTACAGCTGCCCCAGAAACCCCATAAAAAGAGCATGCACCAGTCTCTGCTTCTCATGCTGACTTTCTTTTTTAATTCTTATTAGGGAATAATGCTAGAACATTCCCACTCCTTTACTTTTGCTGGACTCTACCACAGCGGTCCCCAACCTTTTTTGCGCCACGGACCGGTTTATGCCCGACAATATTTTCACGGACCGGCCTTTAAGGTGTCACAGATAAATGCAACAAAATAAAACCAGTACTGGTACCGAAAAAAAGACGATTTATTCATAACACACGTGAAAAGACCCAGGGAAACAGAGTTAACGATAAAAACGATAACAAAATAACGCTGAAAACTGATAAAAACCCTGAAAACCAGACATTTCACACCTGAGCCTCAACTCTCGCGACCTGGTACCAAACGACTCACGGACCGGTACCGGTCCGAGGCCCGGGGGTTGGGGACCGCTGCTCTAAGACACTAAAAGAGACTAACAGTGGAGTTAGAAAACAGCCCCAGACTGCCCCCTCAGTGTCACTGAGACAGGAAGAGATTCAGCAGCCATCACATCTCCAAAGCTTGGCTCAGCCTTCCACCATCAGTCAGAAATGACGGGCCCTCCTTGGCTTTCATTTTTGAAAACTCTGCTGGGAGCTACTGTTCATGGGCAATATCACCAACCTGACAGTTATATAACGGCAGCTGCTTGTGAGATGATGCCACTGTAATGATGTCATTTTGAGGATCACGATTGAAAACATTATTTACATTATAGAAATATTTGTAACGGCTACCAGTCTTCACAGAAGCATTTTAATATTTGACTAAATTACTGTTAAAAACACTTTGCTTAAGTTAGTAATAATAATAACTTTATTTATGAAGCGCTTTCAAACAAAGTGCTGTACAGCTATTTGAAAATAAAGAGATAAATAAATAAAACTGATGCATATCAATACAAGTTAAAAACACCAAAACATTTAAAAACAATAAAAAATGTAAAAAACAAGTTACATAATAAAGCTGTAGAACATGAAATAAAACATGTTGTTTATGGATTAAACTCATGGAAGCATCATTCCAGCATTTTTTAAATAAATCAACTAACAAATAAAGAAATGTCAGGTTAGCAGATTAGATGGATTCAAACTTTTGGGAATTAACTGGTGACTAAATCCCAGAGGTTTCAAAGGGTTGTAACAGATTCAGATGGGACAGTACGTGCCCCCCACGGCCATCGGCCTCAAACAGCCCTTTGCTCTTTGACCCGTCAGTGGAAAAGTTGCAGCAGAGTGTTTACACATTGAGTACACATACACTTTGTCTCTCTTGTTGGCGCTGACATACAATCGCTGCTGTAAAGAAAGTTGGCAGGACGTTTCCCAATCAAAAAGCTGACTGGGCAGAAAGTCCCAGTACGAGCAGTCCACCAGTTTAAATTTGATCAGGACTTCACATAAATTCTTGAAATCTCTGTGGCCTATGCGAGTGTGCACACAGATAGTAAAACTACGACTAATTTCCAGGAGTGGAAATTCATAGAAGCTCCATCCCACCGGGACAGGCAAACACTGCACACTTAGCCGGACACGTTGGAGTGTGTGTAGCCTCTTTGGATGAGTTGATCAGAGTGTGACTGGAAACGCAATAATCCCATCTGCTTGTTAAACAGGATTAATTAGTATGTTGAACTGTAAAGAAACCGGTGGAATACAAATGCTCGGGTAACCGGGTTGGTTGGGTAGAGACGGTTGTCCTCAGTTTAAAGGTTTATGTTTCATTTTGGTTACGTGCTCAGTGAGATCGAAGAAGCATAAAAGCCTGTTTACAGTCCAGATAAATGAGAAAATGATGTTGGTATTTTAGGTTGGGAAAAAAACTCAGATGTGAGAAATGTCGAAGGATTATTGGAGGGTAACGTGAGGAGGCTGGACTAGACAAACTCAAGATAATTGTGATTGAAGACGACGCCACGCTCTGCTCTTTGACATAAATGGTTAAACAGGCGAATTGCTCTTAGTGTGTATGTGATTTGTGTTCTGGTCTTTCACTGTATGGTTTACTCTATTTTATTTTGACCAATATCTCTAAGAACTACATTCGGCTGTGCATTAATCGTTTGTCACAATGCACCCAGGTAGCATCCCAGACAGACCCATAGATTAGAGTAAATCCTCCTGGCAGGCTCCAAGAAAGCTCCTGTAGACAGAAGACTAAACCATGAATGAAATTATCTGCACTAATTGTACAAAGTACAACACAACAGTGTTGGCAAACGCTGAGAGGCTTACTACCACTCCCACAGCTTGTGCTTCGATGTGCTCTGGCTACAAGACTGCCGGCATTGCTACGGACTTAACAGATGGCTTTTGTGCATTTACAGAGGTGTAGGTGTCATCGCTGTTAAACACTGGCTTTTGCAGATATTTCATTTTAGGTTTGAAAAACAAAGTCAGGGAAGTAGCACACGCTCACTGCAAAGCATCCTTTGCTATTCATTTGAACAGGCGAAGTCTGCTCTGTAGCACAAACACATTCGCTGTGGAAAACATCACAAGCCCAACATCATTTCTGAACCTCAGCAGAAAGACGTCTTCATTAGTGCTGAGCTCCATGTCTCTCGCTCTTCTAGCGCTGAAAATCTCTCAGATCTCTCTGCTTTGGTTGTTATTCCTGCTTGAAGAAGATCAAATGTGTGATACACATGCAAATCAAGATATGATTTGACACATTGTGAAGTGGCCATCTATAACGCATTCGCCATCGGGGTTAGAGTGTGTGGGTCCTAATGGCAGTTATTTCAGTGTGCCGCTCTCACACAGCAGCGCATTTCTTGTAATGCAACAGGAGGAAGGAAAGCATGTCTCTTTGCAGTGACACTGACAGACAGGCGCATCGGAAACATGAACTGATGAGAGAACTGGGTGTTCTCAGGCTTTAGTCATCATGCTTAATAACACACCAACGCTCAGCACATGCATGCCACTCAGGAAAGACACTGCTGTGATCTAAAAAAGGGAACTCTTTAAAACAATTCTGTTTGCTCACGTCCTCCCAAACACAGACGAAAGACGTGGATGTGTAACCCGCGAGCCGCTTTGCACGAGGACAGTGGCACATCCAGTTTGGACCTGTGGGCTGCCGAGCGGCGTCTCTGCACGTCAGACGTCCTCTGCCAATGATGCTCGATCACACTGACATCCCTGGAGCTGCCTTGGTTTTTGTTGTATATATATTAGAGTGCATGCTGTTGATGAAAAAGGGAAAGGCCACTGCCACCAGGAGTGCTTTTGCCATGGAGACAGATTGGTTTGCAATAACATTTAGGTGAGTGGTACGTGTCTAACTATTCTTATCTGCAGTACGTGCAATATCAGGACCCAGCGTGTCCCAGCAGCCCAGTGCACTGTATCAAGAATACCAATGTTGTTCTCTATATTAGGCAGGCAGCTATTTTCAACTATTTCAAAGAAACACTAAAGCAGAGCCGCCCAAGACACGCAGACAACAACTAGAGCCCAAATTCCCCTTTTCTTCCTGACCGGTGAACTACTGTAACGTGGATTTTCCCAGTGTGGGATTATTCTCTAATATCTAATATAATATGGGATTAAATGTCTGTGACTTAATAATAATAATATCAGAATGCAATGATTTGCAAATCTAATTAATTATCGTAGCTTTAAAAGGTTAATTGGCAGCAGGTCAGTAATACGAGGAGAGGAGGAGCGTTTCTCAGAGGTAAATCGCACTTTGGATATCACATCATATTCATATGACATCATCAAAAGATACTGGATGCCTGTGATCTGCTGGTCATTGCCTGTGGTTCAGATTAGATAGATTAGATGAAACTTTATCCTCCGGGAAATTCAGTAGGAGGTAGAGCTGGCCATCCTCTGACTGGAAGGTTGGTGGTTCACTTCCTGGCATGCCAAAGTATCGTTGGGCAAAATAAAGAACCCAGAGTTGCTCTCTGTTACATTAATCTCAGTGTGAACGAGGCATGTTGCACCGAAGGGTTTGAAGCTCAACCAGCATAGAAAAGTGCGACATAAGAACCCGTTTATTATTGTAGAGTCAGAGCAAGGCTAGCAGGAAATTAACCAACAGCTGATGGTGTAATTACTCTATACCTGAAACACTGTGTGATTAATGTTTATTTCTATGTCTATCACATCAAATAGACTTTATTTAATCTCACACTGGGGAAATACCCTTGTTACAGGAGCACGAGGAGGAGGAAGAAGCAGTGAATGAGAGATATAAAGTACAA